GCACCAGAGCACGGTATACCAAGTGCGCACTCGGACTGTTTTTTCACCAGCTTACTAGCTCAGCCGCGGGTGGCGAGAAGGTTGTCCCAATTCTTGTACGGCATTCAACATTCATCACGATCAGGCTCTCCGGGACTACCACCGGCAGGCCGCAGATTTCTGTCCAGATGACGACAATGTTTGTTTCTTCAGTGATCGTTCAGCTCCCTTGACAGGTTTTTTCGGGGCCAAGGCCGAAGCCAAAGTGGACCAGGAGACGTGGCAAAAAATGATTCTGCGTATTCTCGCTTTTGCTGATGACACCACCCAATTATCACGTCGATCTCACCAGCCCGAGCTGGGGGCACTACTTGTACGCACGCCGGCGGATTGGGGCGAGACGGTCCATGACAGCAAGACGGCCAGGATGACACTCAGCAAAGATCAACACGACCTTCCTGAGGGTTGGGTGGACGTGATTGAATTTCTCGGCGGCTGGATTCAGGCCGACAGGGAGACGCGTCGCGACACCTTCGAGAGAGTTGAGCAAGCACGCAAGTTGTGGTACAAGGTTTACCGCCGACTGCCACGACTCCATCTGAGCCTCCCACTCCAAGGACAAATTATTCGGTCCACTGTGATTGCTTCCCTGTTGCATGCGAGTGAAGCACGGTGTTGGCCTTCCCGTGAACTTGACATTGTCCAGAGGTTCGTCAACCGAATAATCCGCGGTATTGCTCCGGGGCAAAAAGGACGGCTGGCGGAACATGAGGGGGCGTTTGACCCAGACTGATCTTCGGCTCAGCCTCGGTCTGGACACGGTGGCCACGATGATTACCTACCGCCAGATGTCCTACCTAGGCCACTTGGCGCGATTGCCGGACACCCGACTTGAACGTGCTGCTCTTTTCGCTTGGCTTCCTCCTGAATCTCGGCAGCCATCTCAGACGTGGAAGCTTACATATCGCAAACAGATCTGGAACCACCTGGAGGCATTCATGGCCCACGCGGGCCGCCCAGTGGAGACCTGGCAGGATTTTGCTTGTGAAGCGACCGTGCACGACGGACGTGAAGTGCATGGTGGAGCTTGGAGGGCTGCCCTTAAGGCATGGCGGTCGCATCTACGAGCCAAGGATGACCAAGACACACACGTACGCCACCATGCCGGAGGCGTTGCCAAAGCATCCGAGGAGCACGTGGGCCCGTCTCAACCTGTGGCCGCTGGACGTCGACCCTCAGCCGCTAGCCAGGAGATCGTCACCTGCCCAGGGTGCAACATCAAGCAGAAGCGTCTCTCGCTCCGCAATCACGCGCTCTGCAGCTGTCCTGCGCAGACACAACACCAACCAATCTCGCACCGTGCCCCTCCCAAACCGTCACATGGTGGCGCTGGAGCGGCGCCCACACTACAACCTGCTGCGCCTGCTGCTCCCGCGGCTCCAGGCCGTGGGGACGCTGGCGGTGCCAAACGGGCACGCGGAGGAGGAGGGGGACGGGGACGAGGACGAGGTCGAGGTGAGGGACTAGTTCACGACGGGGGCCTTCGAGTACCAGAGGCGGGCCTACAAGGAGGAGGACGGGGACGGGGACATGGCGAAGACGGGGGCCTTCGAGTACCAGAGGCGGGCCTACAAGGAGGACGGGGACGGGGACAAGGAGGTGAGGGACTAGTACACGATGAGGGCGAACGAGGACCAGAGGTGGGCCTACCAGGAGGACGGGGACGTGGACATGGCGAAGGGCGAGGAGGTAGAGGAGGAGGTGTGGGACTAGTACACAATGAGGGCGTACGAGGACCAGAGGTGGGCCTACCAGGAGGACGGGGACGGGGCGATGGCGAAGGGTGAGGAGGTGGAGGAGGGCCACATGGAGGTCGAGGAGGGCGTAGGGCGGGACCAGGGGGCAGTGCAGGACCTTCGTCGGCGCAGATCGTGGCCTCGGGAGCTGCAGCCCCACGTGCTCCGATTGCCGCGGCGCCACCACCCCCGTCCCCGGCGAAAGCACGGAGTCGACACCATGCCGTCAGCAAAGCACCAGCGAAACCCAAGCCAGCAGCTAAACCGGGTTCTCGGCCGTTGTGTCGATATTGTCGTACGCCCCAGCCTGCAGCTCACCACCTGGAGTGCGAGGAGCGTCCGTATGACGAGTGGTGCGCTTGGAAGTGGTCGGAGGTGTTGAAGCGGAGTACGAGGGAGGAGGGTAGATTGTGGACTACTCAGTGTCAGCACTGTTCGATGCCATTCCCGTCGCCAGCTTCTAAGCGAGTTCATCTCTCACATTGTGTTCGTCGTCGTACTCGGGCTGGCTTGCCACTGAATCAGTTTCTAGCACTCAAGGTTGCGGGACACGCCTCTCACCCACCATTTGTTGAACAGTAGCGGTTCGTTGCGACGATGGCCGAGGGAGCTGCAGGCCTGCTGGCGCAATTGGGTGCCAAGCAGCCGGCTCCGGCGGCGGCTTCTGCAGGTGAAGGCGGCGATGGTGCCGCCCAGCAGCCAGCCGGCGTCCCAGCCCGCCAGGAGACGGAGCTCAACCGGCTCGTGGCACGTCTTCTTCTCGCTCATGACCGTGAGATTCGTGAGCTCCGCGATCTCAATTCCATCACGATCATGATTTTTGACAAAGCTTCCAAAGACGCAATTTCGGAGGCCCGCCAGCAGTGGCGCGACATGGCGCCAGAGGAGCAGAAGGACCCTCATCCCCTGAAGTGTGCTCTGCGGTCCGTTACGCACGCCATCGTTGTTCAGGAGTTGGACAAACACCTGAAGGCGGCGAAGGCGGAGCTCGAGGCAGCGATGACGGATAGCAGCCCCAGCTACACGGACGTGGTCACGGCGGTGGCGGCCCTGAACGCGGTGACCACCAAGGAGGTGGAGGAGTACATGCACGCGTTCCGCCCCAGGTACGACGAGCCCCTACCGGAGGTCGACCGGCCCTGGGTCTTCACGCTCCTGTTCGGTCGTGCGGCTACCACGTCCTACATCGGCGCGTGGCGCTTGGCTATGAACGCTCGCCTGCCGAAGAAGATGGCCGTGCTGTCCTCGCACTCGGTGGAGGGTCCGCTGGCGCAGCAGCTCCGGACGCTGACTTTCAAGGACAACGCTGGCTCTGGCGGCGGAGAAGCAAGGGAGGCGGGCCAAAGCGCCCCGCACGAAGAAGTGATTCCGCGTGACACTGCCACTCCCGCCGCCTCCGGGTGCCGAGGCGCCGCGGCGGGAGGGCCCCGGCCCCTGCGGGGGCGCCGCTGTCCTGGCCCGCGCGCGGGCGGCAGCGGCAGCGCCGCCGGGGGGACGTGCCAATTCATCATAAAGTTTCTCCTCATTTCTTCGATCACTGCCAAGTCAGTCTTGGACGCAAACGGTGGCCAGCCCGTGTTCTCCATCATTGTGTTCTCCACCATGTGCGAGGTTCCTCTGCCGCTGCTTGCAGGTGGTCTTCATGTTTTTCGGTCGCTACCGCGTCAATCGCGGATGTCAGAGGGCACGTGTACGCGTCGTTCGCCGATTTTGTTGTCTTCCAGGCCGAGGCGTCCATGCACCTTCTGGATGTTGCCCCCTTTTTCGCCTACTTCGAGTGCTCGCTGGTCTTGCCAGGGCGGCCCGCCAGGGCCTTCGACGCCCCCGCACAAGTTCTCCAGTCCAACCGCTTGCTGGACACGCCAAGGAGAAGGCGGACGCGAGCGAGGAAGAGCGGGAAGGCAAGGGTTGAGCGACGCGGTCACATGAGCACCTTAACCCAAGTAGAATCAGCAACCCGTGGATCACACGGACAGGGGCCAACACTGTCATGCACATGACAAGGGCGGAGGCACGATGACAGGCTGAGACAAGTGACGAAAAGTTAGATGTGATCAGTGCATCTGGCGTGAAGCGGCACAGCTTGCCCAACATCAGCAATCGACGCTCAGCATTGGGAACACGGGGGGGCTGCGTGCCTTGCTATACGGTGGGGGCATTGGATAAGGAAGCATAAGGAATCCAGAGTCTGGAAGCCGGTGGAACTCCAATCGTGGATTGGCCATGGACACATTCCTTAAAGGGTCTGCAAAGGGTCTGCAGCCTCCTGGGCACATTCCTTAACGAACGCCCCCACCGTAGAACCTCACATATCTCCGACATAGCGGTTTTTCAATGAGTGGCGCCCCAAAGCGTTCGACCCCAACAGTCACGCTGACGTCGCGCAGCGGAGCCTGGGGCCCGAAACAAGCCTCCAGAGGCACAGTACCTGAAGAACGGCCGGGCTCATCTTTCCAAGACGCCGCACATCTGGGTGCTCATCCTTCTTGGCCGCGCGCTCAAGAGGGGTAGTGGGAGGGGGGGAGGCTTCTTAGAGGGAGGCCGCTTCTCAGAAGGCGCGCGCCTTGCATCTATAAACAAGGCCCGCGCCTTCTGAGGAGCAGGGTGCTTCTCAGAAGCCTTCCTCCCTCCCCCTGCCCCCCCCCACCTGTGCGTGGCCGACCTTCCCCGTGCACACCGTTCCGACCGAAGATGCGGCAACGAATAACCAGGATCCTCAACCGGGGCTAGACGGCCCTTGCTGGCACCGATGCGACCCGAGGCCGCCGCGCGCCGCCGGTCGCTGCGGAGGGAGCCACGGCGGCGACAGGAGACGACAGCCAAACCCAAGGCCGACGCGAACTCCGGAGAGTCCTCACGAACACAAACAGGCACGTTCACATACCAAGGCCATGCTAACGGCGATGCTGCTTAACGCTGATGTTGGGAACCAGAAGGTCGAAGTCACGAACCACACTTTCCTGCATCTCCGACCTGCGAGTGCATCGAGCGAAGACGACGCAGCGAATTGCAGGAAAGCGCGAGCCGCGCGTTCCCACACGGCCGAAACCTGCATCTCTGTCACCTGCATCGCTGTCAGCGTGCCCACGGACATACCGCCCGCACCTGCACTGTCGCGATCGCACCGCGCCGCCACGGGCCGCACCGTCTCCCGACCGTCGGCCCTGGCAGCGGAAGGCAGCGACACGAGAGCCAAACCACCACTGCAGAGAGGAGCAGGCCCGCCTGCCACAGCAGCGTCGCCCTCCGCGGCCTCCTCCTGGGCGCCCCGTCTGGGGCACAAGGCTGGCCCGAGGCGGCCCTGGAATGCAAGCAGAGTGCCGCAAGAGAAGGCCCGACACCTCTCCACACCTCCGTGGACGCAGCAATTCTGCGAAGCGGACGTCGCAGGATTGGTGCAAACATCTGGGGCTGATTCGCTTGTATCCCAGGCCGCGTCGAACAATCCACCCAGATTGTGCGCAACCCAAGTAAAGAATCGTTGAGTAAGTGGCAGGGGTCGACAATCCTGCGAAAGATGAAGACTTCATCACTGAGCTCATGACCGTCATTAGCTTCGTACCAAACGGGCTGGGCGTCGTGCAGACACCAACTTCCATGAGAACCGTGCGGTTAAGAACTTTTGCTTAGCGTGTCGTGGCGGCGGCCCCGGCGACACCGTATGCCCGGCAAGCTGACAGCGTGTCGCTCCGCTCCGCGTGGCAGGAGGCTTCGAAAAGCTCGGACGCTGACGCCTGGGGGTTGGGACGTGGATCGCACGTCGCGCCGAAGAGTGTTGGGCCTGAGCCAGCGAAACGACACGCTAGGCCAAAGTGTCCGACCGTAAAGCGCTAGTACTTTGTCTCTGATGAGTTGACCTCAACTAGCAGGAGTTCTGGCGCTGCGCGACGTCACGGTGCCCGCTTAGTCTCCATTGGATTGACCCGGGTTGGCGTGTTTGTTTGGCGATGCCAACTGGTGCGCGGCGTCACCGTCGCACGCAGTACGGTTCCAAGCGATGGGGTCTCGCACGACAGGGGCTCCCATGACAAATGCCCACACGACAAGGGGGTCCCACCGACAGGGTCTCGCACGGCAGGTTACCAACACGAGTAGGTCCCACAATGTCCCACACCATGGGTCCCCCATGCGATAGGGCTCCACGTGTGATAGGGGGTCCCGTATGCGGCAGGGTCTAAGATGATATAGTCTCAATCGATAGGAATCCACTCGATGAGGCCAACAGGCCGCGCCCTATTGTCTTGACTTTGCAATTTGCGCAGGGTCACTGTTTAGGGCCCACGTCGGTATGATGTTGTGTTTCTTTGTTGGCCGACAACTCTCGCTTTCCGACTGGAGGCAATCACAATCAAAGAAGAAACATACGCTCCTGGAAACATAACGCAATGAGAACCTAACCCTGCTTTTGATGGGTTGTCGTCGGTACGACGGGGAACAGACACAATGTGCGGACGCTAGGCGCGGGAAGGGGGTCCAGACCCAGGCTTCGGGACAGGTTTGACAGAGACGCAACCGAATGAACTCAGTCCGTATGGCGCTTCGACGCAATCCTTTATAACCTCGCGATGCATCGCCTTCGGCATGCCCCTGGGATGCAGAAGCCGGTGCGCAATGCCGACGTCACTGCTGATTATCAACGCAGACGTGGTCCATCCGATGCATCGACGATGCGCCGCGTCGTGACCCAATCTGGGCGGACTGCCTGCTCCGGCCCCAGCTGGGAGTCCCGAAATCCTGAGGCGCCGCCGCGGCCGCGATATCCACGCCATCGGCGTCGTCCTCGAGCGCTCGGAGGGACATGAGAAATATGATAAAGACGAGGAGGGGTCGGACGAAGAGTGGGGAGGTGGATGTCGGGGAGGAGGAGGAGGCGGAAGAGGAGGAAGAGGAGGACGTCGAGCATGCCCAAGGTGGAGGTGGAGGAGGAGGCGGAGGAGGAGGAACAGGAGGAGCAACAGCAGGAAGCTGAGGAGGAACAGGGGTAGGGCGAGAAGCGGGAGACATGGGATGAGCAAGCGCACCATGGAGCGGACCCTACTCCGCACTGTGGCGCTGGGCGAACCAGCCATAACACAAGCCTGTCTACAACACATTGGACCAGGGTATTGATTGCTGCACGTCTGACAAACACCATATGGACGAAAGAAACCTGGCCAGGAAAGAACGGGAAGCGTCGCTTTTGTCCACTAGGTCTGTGAAGTGTGCTCTTTTGTTGGTCTGCCGCGCAGGCGTGTCGTGGCGCGCGTGCGTTTGTGCGTGCGCGGGCGTGCGTGGAATATGTGCATGAGCGTCCGTGCGTGGTGGTCTGCGGCACTGCTATCTATGTTATGCCGTGCTGCTCTGCCGTGTTTATGCGGACTGCGTGAACGTATGTTGTCTCTCTGTGTGTGCGTGTGTGTGTGTGTGTGCGTGTGCGTATGTGTCTGTGTGTGTGTGCGTGTGCGTGTGCGTGTGCGCGTGCCTGTGTCTATGTGCGTGTGCCTGTGTGAATAGATGTTATATGTGTTCTGCCGTGCTCCTGCGCGTTCCGCCGTGCTCCTGCGTGTTCTGCCGTGCTCTTGTGTATTCTGCCATGGTCCTGCTCTGCCAAGCTCCTATGTGTTCTGCCGTGCTCATGTGTGGTCTGCCGTGCTCCTGTGTGTTCTGCCGTGATGCTGCTTGTTCTGCCGTGCTCCTACGTGTTTTGTGTGATCTGCCGTGCTCCTGTGTGTTCAGCCATGCTCCTGTGTGTTCTGCCGCGCTCCTACTCTGTGTGTTCTGTCGTCCTCCTCGTGAGCCTGCGTGTTCTGCTTGCTCCTATGTTTTCTGCCGTGCTCCTGCGTGATCTGCCGTCAATTTATTAAAGTTAAAAATAAAGACGGGGCCTTCAAGGCGGAGTGGTGGGGCCAAAAGGCGAAGAAAAAGGACGCGCTCACCCGAGAGGGGCCGCCTAGGGCCGCCTCTCGCCGCGGGGGCCGCACTGGGCCTTCACCGCGCGGCACCACAGGCGAGAGCAGATCTACACGCAGAATGCAACTGCCCACCTCACTCTTCGCCCTGGGGCCGCGTCGTGCAACGCACACGGCCCCGCAGAACATCGAGGAGCCGCTGACGCTCCTCGGCACGTGGGCAACCTGCACCTCCGAGGCGGACGCCGAGGGCGCGGGCCTCGGCCAAGTCCAGGAGTGACTCAAATCCCGACTTCGGCCCCTTGGCCGCACGCGCCACCGCCGCCGCCGAGAAGCCGTCCAGGAACGAAACGAACGCGCCCTCCGAGCTCGAGCGGCCCTCGCCCTCGGCGCAGTCGACGCTGTCCGCGACCGGGGGCGGCCCCATGTCGTCGCCGACGACGCTGCTACCGTCCAGGTGCGGCACGACGTCGTCGGCAAACTCGACGGGTCCACGCGTAGACGGCCTCGCAGAGTCAGCATCGCTGGCGCCAGCCAAACCGTCCACGCCGGCGCGACCGCCAGCACCAAGCTCTGCACTAGCACGTCCCAAGACGGGAGGCAGCGGCGCGCCGCCTGCAGTACCTCCAGGTACCTTCTGCGCCCCGAGGGCGGCGGCCACGGAGCAGGAAGAAAACACCACTGCGCCACAAGTACACCGCATGCCCTCGAAGTCGCGCAAACAGTATGGCTCGGCCGAAGATCTCAGCGGCGTGCGCCTCCGCAGCGGCAGACCGCCCATGAGCCTCGGCAGCGGCTCAGCCTCGCAGATCTCCACGTCGATGTCCACGCTACCTAGCCGAGAGACACAAACGCCGTGGTCGCCCACGCTGCGGGCACCCTTCTCCTGCGACCCCAGGCGTTGACCCTTCTGGGCCTTCCTGAGGGGTGCTGCCGCAGCGGAGGCGATCGACGGCACCCTGTCGGCCTCGGCATGGAGCGCCACGTTGCGCCGTAGCCGCTCCGACCAGGTCGGCTCCTCCCCCCGCGCAAGCGCAGCCAGTGCCGGGATTGCCGCCTGGGCCCGATCCGCCAGCCCAGGCACGCCGACGAGCAAGTCGAGGGCGGCCTCCACCGCGCGCAGGCGGGCCTGGGCCTCGCCAGCGGCCTCCAGGGCACGCCGCACGGCCGCATCAGCAGCCGCTCGGGCGCGCCGCGCCACCTCGCCTCGCTCGCGCCGCGAGCGGGGGAATCGCAGAGGGCCCCCTCCCGTGACCACCCCTCGCCCAAGCAAGCTTGAACCGAGCTGGCTCGGGCCAAAATGGCAACGGACATCTGCCGTCAATTCTGCCGTGCACCTACGTGTTCTGCCATCCTCCTAGCTGTGCTGCCGTGCTCCTGTGTGTTCTGCCGCGCTCCTGCTTGTTCTGCCGTGCTCATGTGTGTTCTGTGTGTTCTGTCGTGCTCCTGTGTGTTCTGCCGTGTTCCTGCGTGGTCTGACGCGCTCCTGCTTGTTCTGATTGTTCTGCCGTGCTCTGCCATGCTCCTCCTGCTCATGTGTTATGCCGTGTTCCTGTTTGTTCTGCCATGTTCCTGTGTGTTCTGCCGTGCACCTGCGTGTTCTGCCGTGCTCCTGTGTGTGTTCTGCCGTGCTCCTATGTATTATGTGGATTATGCTGTGCTCCTCGGGATCCTGTGCGTTGGTTGGTTGGTTGGTTGGTTGGAGGGGCCTTAAAGGCAGGACAAGGAGAGAAAGGACCGAGGGGCCTCCAGGGGCACCAAGCGCCACCCGAGACACGCCCTCCCGAGAGGGGCCGCCTAGGGCCGCCTCCCCCTCGGGGGCCGCACTGGGCCTCCACCGCGGCCGCGCAACAAGGCGAGAACATATCTACATACATAATACAACTGCCCGCCTCACGCACTACCCTTGGGCCGCGTCGTGCAACGCGCACGGACCAAAATACCATCGAGGAACCGCACACGCTCCTCGGCATCTGGACAACCTGCACTGCCGAGGCGGATTCCGAGGGCGCGGGCCTCGGCCCAGTCCAGGAGTGACTCAACTCCCGACTTCGGCCCCTGGGCCGCACACGCCACCGCCGCCACCGAGAAGTCGTCCAGGAATGAAACGAACCCGCGCTCCGAGCCCGAGTGGCCATCGCCCGCGGCGCAGCCGACGGAGTCCGCGACCAGGGGCTCCATGCCGACGGCGTGCTCGATGGCCGAACCTCCCACGGGCTCCTGCACGACGGCCACAGGCGGCGGCCGCGGCGCCGCAGCGCCCACGGCCACGGGCCCCTCACGCCCAGGCCCCTCGGCGAAACGCACTCTCCAGGTGAGTCGCCGACGAGGCCTCGCGGAGATGCCGGACCTCTCGCACTCGCAGAGGTGCATCAGGTCGACGGCCTTCGCCTGGCTCGTCCAAGCTGGGCCCGCCCACTGCGGGGCAGGGCCATGCCGAAGAACACCTGCCACGCCGAGCGGGCCTCCCAGGGCTCCCACCTCCAAGGCGGTGACGTCGGGCCACGGAGCGAAGGATACCCGCTTGACCCTCGCACACCCTTGCCCGACAGGAACAGCCCCGCCCAGCTCGCTGGCCCTCCTGTCGCCGAGCAGCCCGCACGGCACGGGCGCCACGCCGCTCCCCTCGGACTCGCCCTGCTCCTCGGGGCCAACCTCGGAGCCGCCGGCCATGAGCTCCACCGCGTCGCCAGGCGGGCTCGCCAAAACCGCCGCGTCGGTCTCTACCGCCTCGGTGCACCCTGCGCCGTCCTCGCCGGAGCCCTGCTCGGCCAGCTGCGCCACGCCGAGCTCCTCCAGCAGCGCGGCCCAGCGCGCCCACTGGGGAAGGTACGGCTGGGCGCAGAACGCAGTGGGGTCCTCGCGGCCGCCACTCGGGCGCTGGGCATCCGCGCTGGCGCGCCTGCCACGCAAGCATCCACAGCGCACTCGAACGGCGGCACTTCGCAGACGCAGGTCTCCACCTCACACACGGTGGCACTCTGCGCCGCACCGCCACGCCCATCACCAGGAAGGGGCCCTCCTGGGAGGCGCGGCCCGCGCTGAGCCCTGCGCCACGCCTGCGGCGGGGGGTCGGCCGACGGGTAGTGCTCGGCATGCCACGCGACGTTCCGCCTCTGCCGCTGCGCCCTGGTCTCGCGGCGTCCGCGGACGCGCGCCACCAAGGCGGGCCGCGCGATGGCTTCGCGGCGGAGGGCTTCCGCCTCCGCGGCGTCGCCGCGCGACCCGCACTCCAGCTGCGCGCGGAGGCTGGCGATGACCGCCTTCGCCCCCCGCAGCTCCCTGTCCAGCCGTCTCACCAGGTTGTCTGCCGCGCATCGGGCCGCCGCGACACCAGTGAGCACCTCCCGCACCATTCTGCCCAAGCGCCCGCGCGCTGCGCGCGCCCGAGCACGGCCTTGAGCCAAAATGGCTACGGAGGGATCCTGTGTGTTCTGCCATGCTCCTGTGTGTTCTGCTGTGCTCCTGTTTGCTCTGCCATGCTCCCGTGTGATATTTGGTTCTGCCGTGCTCCTGTGTGTTCTGCCGTGCTTTTGCGCGTTCTGTCGTGCGTCTGCGTGTTGGGCTGCAGTGATCCTGGCCATTGTCTGAAGATGCCTCAGGCACAATTGTATGTTTAAATGTATGTTTTAACACGCATGGCCTTGAATCAAACATTTTCAGCATCTCGTTGTTTCGAGGATGTCTCAGGCGATATTCCCATGTCCACACGTTTATTTGATTCGCTGTTTTCATTTTCTAGTTGGTGTCTCATGCGAGATATTTGTTTGTTGTGAGGGACAGTGTTGCGAACAACTCATGTTGGTGAGGATGTCTCGAGCGAAATGCGCATGTTGAGGAATATCGAGGGCGCTCTTGGAGTCATATTGGGCCTCGTTTGGAGCTCGTTTGGGGCCGTCTCGACGCCTGACAATATGATGTCACTGCGATGTCACACACATCTCCTTTTTGAGGATGTCCCGAGCGAAATCGCGATGTTTAGAAGGCTGACTTGGGCCGCCGGAAGCCTTTTCAAGAGCGTTCCCAAGACGATGTTACAACAGCAGTTGTCAAAACGATACTGTTTTTTTCATTTGTTGAGGATGTCCCTCGCGAAATCGTCACTTTCGGCAGTCATCAGGGCGCTCTTGCAGCCATATTGAAGTCCTTTTTTGGCTCTCATTTCTTCCTCTTCAAACACGTCAAGAACGGATGTTGGGAACATCTATTTTTTGAGGATGTCCCCAACGAAATGCAAATTGTCTGCCGTGCTCCTTTTCGGAGTCGCTCATGCTGCCAGTCATGTTATGAGGACGTCCCTCGCGAAAACGCAGTTTTCAAAATCAGATGTAGTGGAACACCTCCGTCGACATTTCACTTTGGTTGGGATGCCTTAGGCGAAACGCTAATTTTTCCAGACGAATGAGTTTCGCTACGATCACCTTTTCGATAATGTTTCCAGCGAGACGCTTGTTTTTGTTAAACACGATGTCGCGAAGATTTCATTGTTGTGAGGATGTCTCAAGCGAAATCGCCATTCGGGGGGATCCGCTAACCCTCTGGCCTGTGCAATAAGCCACCCTCTGTGAGTAAGAGATTATTTGGTATGATGCAAATTCAGCCACAACGTCCAGCTCGCTTCTCGTAGCTCGAATACGCTTCCCGTCATCCGCCGACCCCTCCCGTGCGTGGGGTAAAACGGCGTGCGGGATGATTGGCTGTCCCCCATCCACCGTTCTCCTTGCCCAGAAGTCTAAACTGCGCAAGATACCTTCTCGACCGCAGAAGGATTCCAACGCGCACACGAGGTCTCAGGAGAAACTCGAAGGGCCCACAACGCTCTCAATAAGGTGGAAAGGGGGTCCCCTTATGGAGCCCAGATATCCCAAATCCTAAGTCATCAAACGCAGATGCCTTATTTCAATGCTTTTGCTATATCGGCGCCTTTTCTGAGAAACTTTGGGAAGCCCTCCGAAGGCCCATGGGCAACCCAACATGTATCCACCGGTCCCGACCATGATCCCAACGCGGCCCCGAACCCATAGACTCCTGGCGGGCTTCCAAACATATTCCAACATGGGTCCAAGACGGTCCCAGACCGCCCCAACACTCACCCGCGCGGCCCCATGCCCGTCCCAAGCGTCCCCGAGACCCCTGAAGTGACGCTAAGAAGCCACAAGGAAGCCCGAGATGACTCCAGAGGGCCCCAAATACACTCGACGAGGCCCCGCGAGAACCACAAAACATGCTCAAATGTTCGGGCGCAGACCTGTCATTTTCGTTCTCTCCAGATAAATAGCTCCACTCTTTGCGCCGAAACCCCATCCAGCCTGCAAGCCAAAACCCCGGACCCAGACCGAATGGAGGTCAAGCCTCTGATGGCCGCGCAAGGTGACGACGCTGCAGAGCAAGGGGGAGCAGGAGGAGGAGGGGGTGGAGGAGGAGGAGGAGGACACTGCGGGAGATGGACCCAACATCGCGCACATGCTAGCACACCCAAAATTGACATGTTGCCGCTTGCGGGCGCCAGCCGGGGTGGACAAACCCTGGCCCCCTGTGAAGAACAGAAAGAAACAGAGCGGAGCTGGGAGGGCGAGGCGATGACAGGACAAGTCAGTGGATGATGAACTCGTCTGGGAAGGTATATCCAGCGCGCGGCTGCCGACGTGAAGCGTGATATTCCTTGTTGACAGGCCCAAACGGCCTGCAACGCAACGTGAGAAGCGAGAGAAGAATAATGCAGAGGCGGAAGAGGAGAGAAAGGGGGCTGTGTCGACGGCGTTCCCGGCCGCGTGGCTGACGCACGCGGGTAAAAAATCCGCCGTGGCCTTGGGCCCGGGCACAACTGTCCCTCTGCGGGAGTCACAGCGCGGCCAGCGTCCTCCGGGCCCAGAGGGAAGTGGGATGAGGAGGAGGAAGGGGAGGAAGAGGAGGAGGAGGAGGCGGAGGAGGAGGAGAAGGAAGATGAGGAGGAGGAGGCGGAGGAGGAGGAGGAGGAGGAGGAGGAGGAGGCGGAGGAGGAGGAGGAGGAGGAGGAACAGCAGGGGGAGGAGGAGAAGGAGGAGGAGGAGGAGGAGGAGGAGGAGGAGGAGCAGGAGGAGGAGGAGGAGGAGGAGGAGGAGGAGGGGCACCACGCAGGCAGGCAGGCAGGCAGACAGGCAGGCGGCAGCGGGGGGAGCACGGCCGCGGGGTGTGATCCACCGGGCCCCGCGAGTTCGGCGAGCGTGCCGGTTTTGGGCGTGAGCGGGGGCGGGAGAGCGGGGGGGCCCATGCCTTCGTGGGCGGGCCAGCTGGCGCGCCTCCGCCCGGACGGTCTGACGGAGACGGCCGCCCGCCGCCACGGCGCCACGCCAGCCGCGCTGGCCAGGCGGCGGTACCGCCACGCCCCGTCAGAGCTGTCCCTCATCTGGGCAAGGCGGATCGCGAGTGCGCGGAGAATGTATGTCGTCCAGGGGTGGGGTCGGCCGTAAGCTGACCAGACGAGGGGCCGGTATACAATGTTCTGGCGGCCAAGCACGTCGCTCTGGAAGGCGTGGGACGCACCTTTGCGTTCATACAATGCTCCACGGCGAACACTGATTGGGAGACAAACCCCTTGACGCTCACTGGGAGATTTTCGTGCCAGCTCCCCCCTAGGGTGTGCTCCTTGTGCCGGTCATTCTTCTCTTCCTCCTCCCCCTCCTCCGCAATTCGGGGTTCCTGTTTTCACCGTCCCTCACTTCCCTCACCCGCCTGCTCGTGCCCCTCCTTCTCCTCATCTGCCTACGCTGTCTCGCCCGGTCTACTGTCTCGCTCAATCTAATGAGCCCCAAAGCCCTGGGGGGGGCCACACCGAATGCAGCCACTGGAGTTTCTATCTGAATCTGGCGGCCCTCTTGGACTTCTCTCACCTCACCTGAGGGTCGGGGCAACGGCACAATCGACGTGAACCATCAAACTTCGGCTTTGGGAACTCGCTCCGCTACCGCGTGCACCCGCTTTTGATGTCCATCAGGTGCGCCGTCCATGTCCCCGAATACGAATTCGGCGGACAACACCCTTGCAATAGGCACATCAAGTAAGAAATCGCCCCCGAAGCCAGATTGCAAGCTTTCATGTAGGACTAGGTCGGGCTGTGGGCGTGGTGTTGTGCTTTGCCGCGGTGCGACCGCGACCGCCTATCCCCATATCCTCCGTCTGCTCAGAGTCCTGAACCGACGCACCGAGCCTGATAACCAACTTCGAGTAGTCGCCCCCGCGACTGCCCACAACACCTGGTAACTTGTACATCCGAGCGGTCTCCCCTGAAACACCTACTACGAGGCGCACGTGTCCAGACACAGACGCACGGCGCGCCATAAAACTTACAACGGTGCCATATAGCACTATCCTCAAATGTGCAAGTGCAGATGCTGGTTGATGCTGCTTGCCCCGATGAGGTCGCTACAGGGCTCGGTCTCTAGATGCCAACGCGCTCAGGAATGATGGCCGACCCGGCGGGCCTAAAGACCAGCCTCGTGAGACCACCTGGTGCAGTCGCCCCCTAAGCTTTGAGAGTGTACGTACGCGTCGAGGACTTCACGCATTCTAGCCGCCTCCCACCGACCGAGAGCCATGGAGCTCACGTTCACTCGCCCACATGATTGAATGCTGCGACGTCCACTTGGACCGGGCGAAAGGGGGGGATAGCAAAGGGGGGGGGGGAGAATCAGCTCACGTAGCTGATTTTCCTGGCGCCTCCTGGCGCCGGGAGGCGCCCATGTAACGGGGAGTGGGCCCGGCGGCGGGGCTGAAACCAGCTGCATGCAGCAAATTTCGTAATTACCCCCCCCTTCCCCAATCCCCCCCTTTCGTCCGGCCCGACCCACAACTCCCAGTCGGGGCGAATGTGCCGCAAGTCTGCTGGCGCCCAGCTGGTGCTCGCCGTCCGAGGCGCCTCCGATCTCTGGCACCGCCGCCGCGTACGGGTGCCGACCGACCCGGGAGCGAGGCTGCGCGCGACAGCCTGCGTGGCACGCGGTCGGGCAGCCGTGACGAGCGCAGGGCGCAGCACGGAACCGAGGCTGCGCACGGAGGCGGGCGAGCTGGGGCGCGCACCCCAACCCCGACCCTGAGCCCCTCGGAGTCGACTCGTCGTCGTCGTCGTCGTCGTCGTCGTCGTCGTCGTCGTCGTCGTCGTCGTCGTCGTCGTCGTCGTCGTTGTCGCCGTCGGAGTTGTCGTCCTCGTCGTCCTCGTCGTCCTCGTCGTCATCCCCCTCGGCTTGAGCGCACGCGTCCGAGCGCATCGGTATGCGCACTCCAGTTCTTTATTATGCTCGTACGCCCTCTGATGTTTGTTCTCCTTCCGAGGGGAGAGAAGGACGACGACGAGGGAGGAGGGACCGGGCCAGACGGACCGGTAAGCGAGCAAGGGGTGGGTCAGCGAAACGGCTCACGTGGCTGGTTTTCCTGGGCGCCTCGAGCAGGAGGAGGAGGAGGAGGAAGCAGGAAGACGGAAGGAGAAAGGAGGAGGAGGAGGAGGAAGGAGGGACGATGAGGAAGGGGGAGGAGAGCGAGACTCCGACCTCGGCCACCCCGCTGGGCCGGGAGCTCCTCACCTCAGATATGACGTTGGAAAAAAACAGAAAATCCAACGCCGCAGCAAATCACCACCTTAGCTGCGCACCCCATCTGCATGCGCCACTCTTCAGGCCAAATCGGTCTGTGAGGGTCCCGGGGTCCGAAGCCGGGCGAAAACGCCTGGTGTGAAAAAAATGGCAGCACCATCAGTTGGCGGCACGAACAAAGGGGTCACGGGGAGAGGGGGGAAAGCTTCTCAGAAGGAGGCTGCTTCTTAGGAGGCGCCGGCCCTACATCGAAAGATAAGGGCCGCGCCTCCTAAGTAGCAGGGGTGTTTCTGAGAAGCCGTCCTTCCTGCCCCCTTCCCAACTTCGCCTCCTCCTCATCCTCCTCCTCCTCCTCCTCTTCCTCCTCCTCCTTCTCATCCTCCTCCTCCTCCTCCTCCTCATCCTCCTCTTCCTCCTCCTCTTCCTCCTCCTGAGAAGCAGGGGTGCTTCCCCCTTGTGCGCGCCGCCAGATCAGGGCCCCTCCCCCCGCCCAGCTTGGCCGCCCCGGCCCCGGGTCCTCCTGGGCCCCCCCGCCGCCGAGCACCGCGGAGAGCGGCTGGTGCGGGTGCTGCGTCGCCTCGCCGCATCGGGGGCGCAGGCTCCCCCCCACACCCATGACCTGTCTCGCCCCGGCGGTGACTGCGCCCCACCTCCTGCGTGCGAGAGTGAGCCTCTGCCTCCTCCTCCTCCCTCCCTCCTCCTCCCTCCCTCCTCCTCCTCCTCCTCCTCCTCCTCCTCCCTCCTCCTCCTCCTCCTCCTCCTCCTCCTCCTCCTCCTCTCCTCCTCCTCCTCCTCCTCCTCCTCCTCCTCCTCCTCCTCCTCCTCCTCCTCTCCTCCTCCCTCCTCCTCCTCCTCCTCCTCCTCCTCCTCCTCCTCCTCCTCCTCCTCCTCCTCCTCCTCCTCCTCCTCCTCCTCCTCCTATAACGGCGGTAATATTGACGCCTCCTCCTCCTCCTCTTCCTCCCTCTGCTCCTCTTCCCCCTCCTCCTCTTATCCATGTGGTTTCGTTGTGCATGTGTCTAACTATGTTGTCTTGTTGGTTTTGTTGTTCGTTTTTGTCGGTTCCAATGTGGGAGTGTCGATGCACACAACATCAATACAGTGAGAGCTCGCACGCGTGCCATTCGCATCACACGTAAAATGAGCGCAGTGATTGGGCTTCCGGGGAAGCCAGGTGGATCTCGCTTGGATTCCTAGGACTGCGCACCAACTTCGGGACTTCCCCGCGAAAACGGGAACAACGATGGGACCTCCACGAGCCAGCTGGGGGGCGCAAGGCGCAGAGACCCGCGCCTCCAGGAGGCTGGGACCGCCTTTGGAGCAACATTCCTTAACACGCATGCTGCTGCCTGGGGCCTCTCATTGGGTCTATGGTTTTTCCTCTCTTTTTTTTTCTTTCTTTCTTTCTTTCTTTCTTTCTCTCTCTCGCTCTCTCTCTCTCTCTCTGAGAGAGAGAGAGAGTGAGAGAGAGAGAGAGAAATCTCTCTCTCTCTCTTTGCTGTGCGAGTGCAACGCTACTGTGCATCTCCTGCATTCGCGTGCAAGGATTGCACGTTCTGAGCGCGGCTCCGCTTCCCCCGCGCTTCCCTCCTCTGTTCGTCCCTGTGTCGTGCCCAATTTACTTCCCGAATGTCTCTCCTGTCGCTCTACTGACGTGTCTTCTTGCGTCCGCGGACCACAAAGTGTCCATGCAATGCCATGGACTGTTCCACCGCCTCGCGCACGAATGCGGAGCGAATCGTAAAGAAGAAACGCTCGAGGAGGAGCGCACGTGCCCGACCACGAGTTCGAGGCAGTAGCCAAAAGGTAGAGGTGCAGAGAGAGAGAGAGAGGGAGAGAGAGAGAGAGAGAGATGAGCGAAGGACAGGGAAGGCCTCCCCGGGGCATCTTGGGCCCGTTTCCGAAGCCTCGGGGGGGGGGGTCTCCGAGCCATCCTGGCAGGACGGAGGCCGTTTGTGTGCTCCGACGCCAGCCACAAGCGGGACCCGTCGCGCAGGTATTGGCACGGTGCGAGCACAGAGAACACCGTGGCGAACACCGTGAGAACCCCAAAGAGTTTCAAAGACGAGGGGCCCAGGAGGCTCCTAAAATGGCCCCGAGAGCTCCCAGGATCGCCCCAAGCGGGCCCCAAGAGGCGATTCTGAGGGCCCAGGAAGGGGGGCACACATCAGGGAACCCCCTCCCTTGATCGATGGCCTCCAAGATGGCCCACAGAGGCCCTCCAGGGTCACGGAGGCCCACGAGGGCTTCAAGAGGGCCCAGAGAGGGCCCTACGAGGGCCTCAAGATTGCCCCAAGAGGACCCCAAGAAACAGGTCGTCGTCCATCTATCTCCTCCTCCTCCTCCTCCTCCTCCTTCTCCTCCTCCTCCTCCTCCTCCTCCCCCTCCTTCTCCGCATCCTCAATTCACCATGGCTGCCCGCTTCGTTTCGCTATGTGTGTCTCTTCCTCCCGGTTCCCGCCAGCTCTCATGGGCAACGTTTCTGACTGGACTGGTGGGGACACGAAGCGTGAAGAGTCTTGGTCAAGATAGCCTCCATCATGCCTCCCAAACACCCCGATACGGCTGCAAGTGGCGTCGCATCGCATCCTGCCAAGGACGCCTCCGAGAGGCCACCGTCATTGAATGGCATGTTGCTTTTCTATGTTGTTGGAGCTTTTCGCCTGTTCGCTTCCGATGGGCATCTGTAGCCACAATAGGTATGGTCCCAGTGTTGCAATAAAGCCCCAAGGTGGTCCGCAGGACGGCCTCAGGACGCCCAAGAGCGCCCGAAGACCGTCCCAAGAAAACTCACGACTTTTCGGCTGGCTCATTAAGGACTCCCTGGTGTTGGGCATGTCCTCCAAGATGACCCAAGGAGGACCGCCAAGAGGGCCCGAATGAGAGACTTACAAGATGGCTCCAAGAGGCTGACAGGGCGAACGATCCGCAAAGGCCTTTTATGGTTGACTCCTGTCGTCGTCGTCTTCTTCGTCACCCATCCGCAACCTCTTTCTCCTCCTCCTCCTCCTCCTCCTCCTCCTCCTCATGATCATCATCATCATCATCATCATCATCATCATCATCATCATCATCATCATCATCATCATCATCATCATCATCATCATCGTCATCATCATCATCATCATGATCATCCTCATCATCATCATCATCATCCTCATCATCATTATCATCATCCTTATCTTCATCTCACCACCACCACCATCATCAGCATCATCATCACCATCAGCATCGTCGTCGTCATCATCAGCATCATCCTCACCAACGCATGCTAACCACCACCAGCATCAGCATCAGCATCAGCATCAGCATCAGCATCAGCATCAGCATCATCATCATCATCATCATCATCACCACCAGCATCACCAACACCAGCATCATGGTCATCATGACCAGCATGATCATGACCATCATCATTCGCACCACCATCTTCATCATCATCATCATCATCATCATCATCATCATCATCATCATCATCATCAACACCATCCTCATCATCCCGCCTCCTTATCCTCCTGGGCCTCCTCCTCCTCCTCGTCCCCGCCCTCTTTCTTCTCCACTCCTGCTCCCACCTGCGGTCCAGCCGAAGTTGAGTGGGAACGTGTTCTGCCAATTCCCTCTTCCTTCTGCTCACCCTCCTCCTCCTCCTCCTCCTCATCCTCCGACTCCACCACCTCCTCCTTCTCCCTTCTCAAGATGCCTCCATGGGCCAACGCTCGGCCGCCAGCTCTTCCCCGACTCGGGGGGACGCATTCTCTCTGGATGCCCCCCCACACACATTCTCCTCCCGCGGCGAGGCAGAGGCAGTCCGCTCCAGCGTGAGGCTAATCGGGGCAACCGGATGGCGAATTGGCTGGCGTGCACGAGGAAGGACAAGGACCAGGGCGGCCGCGCAGAGGGCCGGAGGAGGAGGAGCATCACTCAGACGCCACTCCCACCCCCCACGCACACCCGGCACCCGCTGCATGGCGAACTGCTCCAGCGGCCAGCCCCCGGGAGCCGCCCAGCGGAGGCGCAAGCAACGCCCTCGCAGCACGGCGCGCCAGCGCGGACCGGTTCGCGACGCAAGGCCGGGCGAAGTGGCAACCACTGCACGGGCCGCAGCGCAGGTGCTGCGAAGGTTTAAATCGGGCAGGTCCCTCTACAGGGAGCTGGCTATGTTTCCAGATGCTTGGACTAGTTCTTACTCTTCTTCCAAGATCCGCCTGTAGGAGGAACTGCCCGACCTGAGCGAAGGTGTATGAAGTACACTGGCTTCGGACAGCGGTGGGTCACCTCAAGGACGAGTTGATCGAGGCGCTGATGCTTCTCTTCCGCATCCTCCTGCGCCTCCTTCTGTCGGTTGGGTCCCTCTTCCTTTTGCGCCCGGGCCGTGCCAGTTGTCCGCCGCGTTGTCTGACGGACATCGTCGGACTCATGTTTGTTTCAGGGAGGTCGCTCACAATGAGCGACCTCCATATTGTCCGCACGGTCCTCATGCTCAAGAGGCTGTCCATCCTACTGTTCCTGAGGAGGTAGGTGCAGAGGGCGGGAAGGAGGAGGAGGCACAAGTCCGAAGCTGACGTCTGCCAGAGCAGACTTCAGCCGAAGAGGACTTGCGTTCGCCGAGGAGGATGTGCGCAGAGGTCTCGGCGGGGAGAAAGACAGCGACCCATGGGATGCAGGTGCGCATCCATGGGTCTCGATTTCCATGTCTGCCTTTTCTTATGGTCCTGAGGCTAGCCGTGCACGACGCCTCGAATACAGAGGTCTCCGCGAGGAGAAAGGCAGCCGCCGCACCGCCAACAACCCCTTGGATGCAGGTGCAGACCCATGGGCCTCAATGTCCGTGTCTACCGTTTCTTATGATCCTGAGGCTGGCCGTGCACGACGCCTCGAATATCAGGCTGAGCGGCAAACAGCCCTGCAGGATAAAGCCCCTCTCAGTTAGGCGCTGCGAAGGCGCCTCCCGAGGTTTGCCCTTTTGCCGCCGCTGCTGTTGTCCATTCGTCGCTGCCGCGGCCACTGCTGCGGCTGGTCTTGATCGTTCGTCTGCGTCATCATCTCGCGCCGCCGTGTCTCCTTTTGCAGGACTGGTCCCCCACGTGAGGACTCGCTGCATCTTGACTCTGAGCTCCCTCCGCTACCCTTGTGTTGCTCCAACTGTACGTAAGGGCCACATCCCAGAAATAATTTCGAGCACCCAGACAAGTACCGAAATAGTGTCGAACGAGCATCGTCTCCGAGGGCCCGACACGTGAAAACCATCTAATTTCGGTACCTTCTTGGTGCTCGAAATTCTTTCTGGCTGCCAAAGCTCAGATAGGTTGGAACACCTTGACGCTAACCGACCTTTCCTCCGCTTCCTCCCTCCTCCTCCTCCTCCGTTTCCTTCCTGCTCCTCCTCCTCATCCTCCTCCTCCTCCATTCCTTTCCCTTGTGAATAACTCCCCCCTATCGCGCCAGGAGGGCAATCGGAAGGGCGGGTCGGGCGTTTCGCCTGAGACGTCCTTACCACTCATGGCCCTTGAGCTCATTAGTAGTTGGCAGCAGCTTCACAGATGGACGGCAGGTCGGTTCCACAATGCGGTTCTCGCC